TTAATTAGAAGCACTTATACAGAAATAACAATGAAGAATTTAAATTTGAAAAATTCAAGTTTTATGTCAAAATGTTAAGTACTATGTGGTGGGAAATAAGGTCACATGTTTCCAGAGTTCTAGTGTAGAACAAGGCCAGGAGATCTCATTCACTTTTTTCTATGAAGGATTAAAAAGAAAAGGCTATAGGTAATTTGTTGATGCTACTTCAAAGGATAGAGTAGTAAGTAAATTATGGGACTGTTATAGGGAACATAAATGTTAAAGTGTTAAAAAATTTAAGGTATTTTATAAATCTGGAGGTTGCATGCTAAATATGTGTGTGGCTTGTACACACATACATACACACACACACACACACACGTGACACCTTTTCCCTTACACAGCCAGAGGAAAATAGTTCTGCAAACTAAAGAAATGAGCAAGAAAAAATAATAAAACTATGTCCATCTCCTTTTCTTTTCTTTCCTTTATTTGTGTAAAGGAAAAGGTGTGAGGACTTGTGATTTCATCAGTGTGCAGGTAGTAACTCAAAGTCTTTAGAGAGCTGCCTGGGGCACTTGCTCAGGGTCAATGGCAAAGACAGGCCTGGGACCTAAGCCTCAAACTGCCACCTTGCCACCGACCCTGCTTTGCTGGCAGGTAAATAGTTGGTAAAAACAAACAAAGTAAATAAACTCTGAACCAACAGGATGTTGATAATATGGCTTTGAACTCCAGTTTTGCTACTTCCTACCTGTAAAGCCTGAGACCAGGTCCTTACTTCCTGTGGGCCTCAGTTTCCTCATCTGCAAAATGAGGGGACGGGCCAAGTGACCTCTATGAGGCTCCTTCTGGCTCCAAGTCCATGTCTTATGACATAGGCCTTATGAGGAAAATGAAGATTTCTTTCTTTTAAAAAGGATACACTTATTTGGGTGAAGAAGCAACAGTTAATTATAATCATCAGAGGTTGCTGTACATTTTCACAATAAGGCATGATCTCTGCACAACTATTTTTAAGTCTTGGTAACAGATTATAAATCGCTGAAGGTAAAAATAAAAATCTGTAATTCAACTCAAAAGAACTAAATGCTTGTATTTTGGATACTGTTCATCATTTACAATTAGTCAAAAATTAACCACACTAAGTATTTATTAAATACTCATGATAGACCAGACCTAGTTCCCAACCTTTACCAGTTTACAATATAGTTGGGGAAAGGACATATACAAATGGAAAGATAATTAAACATACAAGGCAGCCCTTTCATTGATCTTTTTTATTCTTTTTAGTACTTTCCTCTCTCTTTTTCCCAATCCCACTTAACACTTTCCACTTTTCTGAAGTTGAAGTTACTTTCTCTTCCTCTTAAAAATGTAACTTTATAACAGTTTTCTTCTAATAATAGCAATCTTTCTATACATCATAAATCAGTACTGAGGTATCTTCCCTATTAACATTCTGCCACCAAAGTCCTACTCCAATGCCCCGTGTGTCATGGAAGGGATGCTGGGTTCTTGCATCTGTAGGGCCATGCCAGCAGAAAGCAAGCTCTAGAAGGTCCAGAATGACTTTAAGGACATGATGAGGGACTGTCTTCCAAGGACCAGTCTAATTAGTGAGATCTTCATGGCCACAAGCCTGGGCCAGATGATCGACTTTTTTCAGCCATAGAAACTCTAGCCTACTGAGGTGTGGAGCAGCTAGGAGCTATGCTGGTGATGAGCTCACTCATTTTTTGAAGCACTGATGCATATTAATATTGTTAAGAAACCACAAAGGATGTTAAATATAGTTAGTGATTTGCTTAGAAGTATCTCCTTTCAGTTTAACAGTTGGCAACACAGAAAACTAAATTTATGCTCACCTTTTATTCTTAATGGAGTTGAAAATTAATGTTTACTAAAAATACAATAGTCTACACAGGCTGATATGGATAAGGAGCTTTAAAGGACAGCATTAATATTTCATTTAGCATAAAACACCCCTTCTTAAAGGTTAAAAGCCTCTGGCACTGAGTTTTTGGATTATAGAAAATTAGAGACAGTGGAGATCATAGATCAGCCCCCTCATCTTACAGATGAATTCTAGAGAAGTGACTTGTCCAAGATCTCATAGCTAATTAGTAGAAGAGACAGGGCCTGAGCCTTCTTTTCAGACTCTCCATCCAGGATTCTTTTTCCACTACACTGTATATTTCAGAAGTTCTAGAAGAGATGGGAAGATGTTCAAAGGCTAGATACAGTGAGACTACACTGGAGAAAGAACTAGCCCTTTTGCTTTGGGGCTGACATATTGCCCTCCGGGGATTCCCTGCCTAGCTGGGGCCCCTCTGAAGCCCCCACCTCCAGTCCTGGTTAGACTCTGGGGATTATGGGCTGCAAGGACTGCTGTGTAGTCTGGTGGTAAGCTGTGGTACCTTCTGTGCTTTACTTATTCCACGGGAAGCTTTAGTTAATTTAATTCCAAATCAAAAAACATTGAGCACCGAGCATGTAACAAAACAATGGGCTAGGTGATGCTCTATTGTAGAGATTAAGATGGAGAAGCCTGACTTCTGGAAAGCAGGCTCCTTAAAGCCATTTCTCAATAGGAACCTGCCTTTGCCTGCCCTGACCGGGGATCAGGGACCCCCTTAGTTCTCACAATAAGCTTGTGTGGAAAAATGTGACTTAGCTCTTCAAACTTCCGTAAAATAAACTAAATCTTGAGGTCAGTCACTGTCCCAGATAGCCTGAAGTAGGGACCTCTGGTCAGTTGCCCTCTACAGAAGAGATGGCCAGGGACTTGAGGCCTCCTCAGGGGTCACCCATTCATAGGGACAGAGACTGAATCCAAAGGTGGAGGCTGTTTGTATTTCCCTTGATTTGCCTTCCATTTCTCCCTTTAAGATCTGTTGGGCCGCCCTTCCCTTCTCCTGTCCAGCGTTTTTATACACCCTTTGCATTCCAAAGAGATGGTTTTTACTCCTGCCAGCCTGGGCTCTGCCCTCTGTTTTCCAGACACTCTTATGAGGTTCCCCAAGCTCCTCCTGGGTTCTTATTTGCTCTCTTTGGACTTGTCCTGCCTGGCTTTAGTGGCTTCTCTGGACTGGATCGTGGCTTACCTGACATGCATCCGGTTCATCTCCTATTTAACTGAACTCCTGGTTCTGGTGGCTACGTGAGCCCAGTGCCGGTAGCAGAGGCTCACTGTCCTCAGGGACTGGTGTCTCCTTTGGGTCCTTCCAGCAAGCTGTCTCTAGACCAAGGCCCCTTCACAGTCGGTGCAGCACAGAAGAAGCCTGCTGCTGAGCTACACATTCATGTGGGATGCTTCTGAGACAATCAAGGGCATAGTCCTGCTCTGTAGCTGAGCTTATGCTTGAATTTCTCACTTTAACTGATACTAGCCTGATCTGTTAGCTTTGTTCTGTTCCTGTGATTTTTAGTGAGCTGAGTTACAAAATTAAGTAAGGTATGAATTAAAACTTTTAAACAAGACTTAAATTTCTGTCAGGCACATTTACAAAGGGGATCTAACTTGGTAATGGCCTCTGATGCTAAGGGTCAGTCTAATCCCCTTAATATGCACCAAAGGAACACATTTAGTTTATAATCAGAATTACTTGGGTTCACTTGCTTCAGAATTGCCACCTCCACTGGCCATCATTACCATTTCTTCCCTATGGGAAACAAGCTTGTGTGTGTGTGTGTGTGTGTGTGCGCGCGCGCGTGCACACGCGTGCACGCAAATGCATGTGTGCACACACACTCACCTTTCTTCCCTGGTTTCTTCCCCTTAACTGTTGTCTTCTCTCATTAGAATATAAGCTCTTTGAGGGCAGGGACTGCCTGCCTTGCTTGTATTTTTATCCCTAGTCCTTAGCACAGTGATGGGAAAATACTAAGCATTTATTATACGTTTCACTCTACCCAAAAACATAAGCCTTATGAAGGAACAAGAAAAAGCCATAGACAAATTAATCCTCAAAAATGAAAATGCCTAAGTTTAATATAGTATTCAGTTGTTTCTACATAGAGTAAAAGAGTTAGTAAATAATTACAGAAAATCAAATTTGAAGTAAATTTGAACTCCCTGTCCATACACTACTTATTACATCATGTTACTTTGTGTAACCAGCATTTATTTTTTCTATCAAGTGTCTACACTGAAAGACATAAGAAGGTAATTTACTCCAGTGATTCCCTATTACCTCCAGGATCAAATATAAAATCCTGTCTGTTGTTTAAAGCCCTTCATGACCTGGCCCCCTCTGACCTTTCCAATCTCCTCACCCCTTACTTCCCCAACCCCTCCCCTGAGCACAGTCCTCCCCACAAGATGCTCTGTGATCCACTGATACCCGGCTCCTTCTGGTTCTTGCAAAACTCTCCAACTCCCAACTAAATGCATTCTGACTTGTAGCCTCTTTGCTTAGATGTCTCATCTCCGTCTTCTGGCTTCCCTTAAGTCTCAGCTAAAATCTTACCTTCTGCGAAGAAGGCTTTCCCGATTCCCCTAAATGCTAGCGCCTTCCCTCTGAGATCTGTCTCCCATTCATCCTCTCCCTATAGCATTTGTACATAGTTGTTTGCTTTTTTGTCTCCCCTTCAGACTGGGAGCTCCCTGAGAGCAAGAACTGTTTCTTTGTATGCCCAGTGCTGAGCTCAGTGCTTGACATGCATACAGAAGGCGCTTAATAAATGACTGCTGTCTTGACTGGTCAAAACTATTCTTACGCTACTAAGAAAAAAGGAAAAAAATACCTTATAACAGGTACTAGTGAAACAAGTTGAATGAAACAACAAAGACCCAGAAGTCAATAGTTAAAATTATTTCCCCTCTCTTTAGTAAGGCCTTGTACAAATAGGTATCTCCCATATAAGTAAATTTTCAGGTGGATTAACCCTTTTCTCGTGTGTAGACATTATACATCTAAGCCAAAGGACTGAATTGAATTTTTAAATTAAATTTTGCTGATGTTTATCCATTTGTAAAAGCAATAAGTCAGTGAATTCTCTGCCATCTCACTTACTTGATCTCTTCCTGATTTATGGGATGTCATGTGACGTTCAAGTTGTGTTCTGTATGCAAACGTGTAACTGCACAGGGAACAACTAAAGTTGTCCTCATTTTTTTCATGGCGATATTTAATGTGTTCTTTCAGGGAGGTAAAGCGTTTGTAGCCTCGGTCACAATATGGGCAGGTGAGAAGCTGAGAAAATGCATCGGGTGTCCCTGGAAGAGAAAAAAACATATTTTTATTCTCAAATATTGACAAGAAGATGACCAAGCCTAGCTACCCTTAAGTCAGAATGTGAGTGACGTCTGTGTCTGCCTCTGCATCAAAGATGAACTCGACCACAGGTGAAGTCTCCTGTTTATTCACTATCCATCCATCAAAGGTCGCACACGGGTCACCATCCACATCACAGGACTTCCTCTGTATATAAACATGGCCCTTCAGATCAACCACCAGCAGGACATGGGAATTCCTTGATGTTTTTCAGCAGTGTTGAGGAATTGGTAGCTCCAACATTCATTCTTTTGTCTAGTCTTTCTTGTGACCATGGGGTAAGGTTTTCAGTCAGGCTCTTGGAACATGGCTCTTCTCTGTATGAGGCTAACTGGCTCTTGACAACTCTGACTAAAGCAGACATTTCATTTGGGAAGATAACTGTGACAAACAATTACTAATGCTTATAATAGCAGAGAAGGCACACACTGGAATTCAGAGCAGCCATTTCCCAACCGATGGGCACTCCGTTAGTTTCCACTTCTTTGCTACCACAAAAAGGAATAGCTGTGTATATTTTTTATACATGGGTCCTCTTCCTCTTTCTTTGGGGAAAGAAAAGCCCTAGTAGACGTATTGCTGGAGCCAAAGTTGTGTACGGTTTAGTGCCTTTTAGGGCAAAGCTCCAAATTGCTTTCCAGAAGGGCTGTACCAATTCTCAGCGTTAACAGCGCAGGAATGTGCCATTTTTGTCGTCTTCGCCAATCTAATGGAAGTGAGGTGAAACTGCAGAGTTGCTATAATTTACTCTTCTCTAATTGTTAGTGATTTGGAATTTTTTTTTCATATGGATGTTGATGTCTTGAATGTCTTCTTTAACATCAACTGGGGAATGACTTTTATTCTTAAAAATTTGAATCAAATTATGTTATATGAAGGTAATGGAATACCACAGAACTATTAGAAATGATGAGAGGGATGGTTCAGAGAAATCTGGGAAGACTTGCAGGAGTTGAGAGTGAGAAGAACTAAGAGAATAATTTACACAATAACAAAAATTATATTGTAAAGACAAACAACTTTGAGGGCCTTAAGAACTCTGACCAATGCAATGACTAACCATGATTCCAGAGGTCTGATGATGAACTATGCCTTAAGCACCTACTATGTGCCAGACACTGTGTTTAGTGCTGGATGCTTACCAAGGGGGCAAATGAAACAAACATTTTTGGCCATGGGCAATCTAGAGATATTTTATTATGTGTTTGTTACAAGGTAATTTTTTTAAGGGGGTGGTTTGGAGCAGAGAAAAAATGCTTTTACATTGAAAATTTTTAAAAAAAGGAATTTAGTATAGGAAATTTGTGTTTATCCAGAACCAAATGACAAGCTCAAATAATTGATGGTATTCCCCCCCCCACTTTTATGAGAAAGAGACAAATACAAATTAAATGGTTAAAGTAAATCAGAGATTTATGCAACCAAAGCAATTTCCAGGGTATACTGATAGTATTAGCAGAAAGAGTCAGAATAATCCTGGACACCCTATCTGAGCAGTTGAATGACTCGCCAGGATACTCAGTCTATGTCAGAGGCAGGGCTAGAATGCAGGATGTTCTACCTGTAAGGCTGACTCTTTCTTCACCACGCTACCTAAAACTACATGTAAGACATAATTATTTTTATACAGTACATTAATGGTATTTTGTATTATTTCATCATTATAGATAAATATTTGAATCTATCAACAATGTTTAAATTACTCCTTGACTTCTGGTTAACACTGAGAAAGTCCAGTCTTTCAGTCTTCAGTCTAGGGCACCACTTAATAGAAGTAACTGATAGATCATTTACAAAATGCTCTACATGTTATCACAATTGATCTTGGCAACAAATCTGTGAGGAAGAAGGGACAGGTGTTAACGTCCATTTTTCAGATGAAGACAACAAAGCTCAGTGAAGGTACATGGTTGCAAACTGCTAGGTAAATGTCAGAGGTATGATTTGAGCCCAGGCCTATCCAGACCCCAAGTACCACACTTTTCCCATCACTATTATTGGTTAACAACCTGAAAAACTTCCTACAATACTACAACAATCTGAAAGAGTTAGTGCTAACTTGCTGTGTGGTCCTGTTTTAAGAATATTATGTAATTTAATTTTTTCTTACCCTCAACCAAATTTTTCCTATCTCTTATAAAATGTTTATTTTAAAGTAAAAATAATAAGTCACTCACATTATTTTTAGAGATTAGGATTTGTCATATTAAAATACTGATGATTTTTGTTTCCCAGAATTTCTATAACATTCCTAATGATTAAATATTAAATAAAATTGCTTCTGCATACCTACAGGATCATACTTTCTTGAAAGATACTTCTGTTCATCACTATGACCATAAATTCATACGTTCTTTTAGAAAAAGAAATCTCTTAAAATATTTCCCCCAATATTCTCTTTTGCAGTGAGCATTTCAGATTGACATTACATGAACTAACATTGCATTTGAATTTTACGAATGGTCTCAATTTATTACATTTTTAAAATAATTCAACCTATTGGGCTTGTTATCTTTGCTTGATCTACAGAAAGCCTATTTGTTAGACAAATTAGGAGCACAAACCAGATTTTAGGAAGGTATGTTTAATCTGTGTAACAAAACCTTAATCATCTAGGATGTTAGTGACTCATATGCAAAACATTGCTAATTATATTTAGTTTTCTGAGTTTGTTGAAGCAGGTTTGGAAGGAACTCTTCCTGGAAAAAGTTTATTAGCCATCAAGGTCTCCTGGACAGTGTTGGATTTGGAGTCAGAAAGGCTTATTCCTCACTGTTACCCTGCCCCAAACAGCTTTGGCTTGGGTGTACACACCTCTGCAGTGTCCTCACCCCCGATGGCAAGGCTGGAAGGCAGAGCACAGAACCCCCGAAGCCTCCTTCAAAAAGGGCTCCAGACCCAGCTAGTTCTGCGTTTCCCACCAGCTGCACTCTGCTGTGCCCCCCAGACCCAATGCCTTCTCTGCCCCCTCTCCAACCTCAGCTTTTTGGATTTCTTTTGTGGTCTGAGGGCAGGGGCTGCCTTTCTTTTATTTATTCGTATCCCCAGGGCTCAGCACAGTGCTTGTACACAGCAGGCACTTAATAAAGTTTCCTGGTGAACTGAAATGTTTCCTGATGTAGATTCCAGTCTGGCCTCATACACTTACTAGCTGGGTGGCTCTGGACGAGCCACTGAACCTCTGTGTCTCAGTTTCTCCATCTGTAAAAGGAGGATAACAGTAAGTCTATCCCAGAGAGGTGTTGCAAGGATCAACTGAGGTAAGATATGTAAACCTTAAAGTATTATATAAATGTTGGCCATTATTATTAGTCAAAGTAACAAAGCTACATTTCTTTTACAATAGACATTTTCCCCCTGAATTCTGAGTGCCTCCCCTAATTTGAATTAGTGAAGTTTTACTCTATTTCTTATACACTTACTGACTTTTGGTTTGCCTCCAGATGTGAGCAAAGGAACATTTCATTAGTCTTTTTTTAACCACATTTTTTCACTGTATGCTTGAGAAAATTATTCTTCCTACTTTATAATGGTCACCTTGTGCTTCATGTGAAATGCTCACTATCCTTTAACATATTTCCATTTTTTCCTATTGCCCTTTATTTCCTACTATAAACTCTTCTTTCTTGAGGAGAGCCGGTAAAAAGTTGTTATTTATCTAAAACTTGTGGCAGTAATGTCAGAGAATCATAGTACTGAGGTCCCAACAACTGTTGACCTCATTAGTACATTTAACTAATGCTTTGACAATACTAAAACCTTGGTGATCTCATCAGCTCCCCCAAGCTCCCAGGACTCCTAGGTCTTTGTCTCTAGCCTTCATCTCTCACATGAGCTCTTGCCCCTCATCACCAAGAGCTTGTGGACATCTCTTCTCGCATATCCCAAAGGCATCTCAAGCCCAAATATCCAAAATGAACTTGTTATCTTTCCCCCTAGGTCCTCCTGAAAGCCTCCTTATCCCTTGCCTCCATTTCTAACTAGTCAACAAGTTTTGTCATGGGTGCAGAACCGATACCTCTCACCATCGGACCAACCACTATCTAGTTCACCTTTTACTGGGATATTGCAACAGCCTCACAATTCAACTTGTGGATTCCAGTCTCTTCTCCCAAAGCACCCTGTATGTAGCTGTCAAATCCGTTTTCCTAAAGCATACACCTGGTCATATTACTTCCTTACTCAAACACCTTCAGGAGATCCCCACTGCCTTTTGGATAAATGACAAATGATTCAGACTGGCATTCTGAACTCCTCACAATCTGGCTTCGATCTCCCCATTCAGGCTTACAGCCCGAGACTGCCTTTCATGCACTGTGCCCCAGCCAAGACATTCTGCTACTGCTTCTTGAGCATAGCATTCCCTCTCTATCCTCCATGGTTCTGTACAGGCTGTCCTTCACTCCTGGGATCCACCTTCTGGAATCCCTAGCTCCCTTAAAATGCTCCTTTTTCCCAAAATTCCTTATTGCTCTCTCAATGTGTTGTGAATGCTCTCTACTTCTTCAAACCACCATAAATACAGTTATTTGTTTACCTGTAGAAGGTAAACAACTTAAGGGCAGGGACTATTTTCTGTTTGGTTTTTGTGTCCCCAGTACTTAATATACTGCCTTACACATTGTGGGCACTTGGTAAATGCTTGTACGACTGGATGGGAGAGTTCTCCAGTGATGTACTTTTGTGTTAGCATAGAGGAAGAAATGCTAGAGCTACAATCATTTAACTAAAAAGGCTCACGTGATTTTAACCCTAACAGTATGAAGCACTTTAAATAAATATTTCTTTATCTCTGTTAATTTCTGTCCTAACAGAAGGACATCTACGTGTTACACATCATGGGAAAAAATAACAAATCCTGAAGTTCTGGTTAAGATGGTGGAGTGGAAGGGTACATAGGAGCTTAGCTCTTTCCCACATACTTCAGCAGTGATCTAGGAAGGGCTCCAGATCAAAAAAATGATTGAGAAATTAAAAAAAGAATCAATAAGCTTCTTCATCCCACCAGGACTGGGCAAAAAGAGCCATACTGAGGCACTAGAAGACGACAGGCTGGAAGTCCAGATCTGACCAGGGGCACTGATGCCTGTCAGCACTTAGAGCTGAGATAAACTGGAGGGGGTAAAAGCCAGTGGCAGGAGCCCTCGAAACTGACATCAAGCTGTGACAAATAAAAAACCCTGAGAGACAGTTTCTGGGTAATTAATTTATTAATTAGACTAGCTAATAATCAATAAATTGATAATCAGTGATTTCTCTCGGTAACCAAGGACAAAAGACATGGAGAGTCTGAAAGTTTTAAATAATCCTTGAAAGGGAATTCCCTTGACAACTCTGATTGGTGGACATTTAATGAGGTGGGGTAGAAGTCTTCAGCTCCTCTTGCTAGAACATGGCTTGATTATGAGACTCAGTTGCCTCCAGCAAACGGGATAAGGGAATTGATCTCCATCCAGGCACTCTGACTGGTTTTCTCCTTCATGAGCTGGGTCACCCTAAACTCTAATGGATGGGTATAAGGACAAGCGCTCGTTTCCTCTGGAGTAAGCATGTGCCTAGACTGGATTCTGTCTATACTCTAAACAGAAGCAAGGTCTCCTAGTGGATGGGGTATGGCCCAAATTTGAAGAGCAAGTTCCCTGAAGGTTACAGGTAACCTCAATCGGCCTTGGCTTTCAGAGGCTAACCTTCCACAGGAGCTGTGCTTCAATAGAGAAAAAGAGGAGAAAAGCCTGGATCCTAATTTAATAACTATTTATTAATATAACAGAAAAATAACTATTTATTAATATAACAGAAAAATAATTTCTCTCAAAGCCCAAATGGGGCCTGACTACATCATTCAAGAGTGCAGAAAGGGGCAGTACCTGATCCTGGCATAAAATTACAAATCAGAAACTGAAGCTGGTGACATGATCAAACAGAAGACAATGCACATTATGAAATAACAGCATAGATCAAGAAATACCAAGAAGGAAAGTCTAGAAAAAGAGAGTAACTCCACAAATATAAGCAGAGCCTCAAGAAAAAAAATGGCATGACCACAAGAACTACAAAAATACTAGGAAGAAGTGAAGAGATAAAAAACAGAAAAAACAAAAACCTTGGAATAAAATAAGGGAAGCAGGATAAATAGTTTAGAATACGTGAAAACTTTACCCAAGGAGTGGATCCCACAAAAATTAGGAAAGGCAAAACAGAACTCAATGACTGAGACAGCAAGAAATATTAGAACAAAATCAAAAGATTAAAAAAAAATAGAAGAAAATTCTGGTTAGAAACAAAAATCTTACCTAAAAACAAGTCAAGGACAGATACTTTAAGCCTCATTGGACTCCCTAAAAACTATGGCAAAAACACCCCTACATAGCACAATTTAACAAAAACCCACAAATTAAAACTGTTCAGATTTCCTAGAACCAGAGGGCAAAGTGAAAATAGGAAGAACATTCCAGTTACCTCCTGAAAGAAACCCTAGAACAGGCAGTTCAAGAACTTAAATGAGAAAAAATATATCTTTATTTCAATATAATTGGTTTCTTTTCTAATCTTACACCTTTAAAAACATTCTGAGAAGAGTTCATTAGATGTCTAGGGGGTCTATGATGCAGAAAAACGATTCTTAATCTTGACCAACAAGAAAAACTCTCAGGAATACTGTATTCAAAATCCAGTGGTTCTACGTCATATTCCAAAATACAGGGCTTCTTTCTGGCAGGCAGCCAGAAACACAGAATTCAAGTACAAAGAACTATAGTCAGGAATACATAAGAGTTATCAGTTATGACTCAAAAAGGAAGAAAATCTTGGAATCGGGTGTTGCAAAAGATAAAGGTTTATAGTACCAAAAATACCTTAAGACTGCAAGACAAGATAATTCTAAAGGGAAAAAAAAAGACTTTTATTGAAAACATAGGTCTTTCAAGCATTCCTGATAGAAAGACTAGAGATGAATAGAAACTTTGAAAATGAAGATGGGAGAGTCAAGAAAAACCTAGAAAGGAAATGCATTTGAGCAACCAGGAGGGGTGGAAGGATGACAAAGAGCTTATATTCTTTGGGGGAGAAGAGACAAGTGACTTCTCAGAATCCTAAAGTCTACAAGGATCACAGAGATCTATAATTAAATAAGATAAGCAGAGGATTGCTTTTTTTCTGTGTTGATAATGTTAGGAGAAGAAAGAAAAGGGAAGGTGAGAGATAGTCTAAGTAAGAAATTAAGAACAAGTGGGTAAGATTTACCATGTCTCCTAAATGGGGTGCATGACACAGCTGGCGGAACTGTGAACTGGTCAAACCAATCTGGAAAGTAGTTTGGAACTCTGCCCCCCAAATGCTTAAACTGTGCATACTCTTTGACTCGGTGATATCACGACACCGTCCACATCCCAAGGAAACCAAAGAAAGAAGAAAAGAACTCGAATGGACAAAAATATTTACAACAGCTTTTTCTCATGATGGCATAGAATTGGAAATGGAGGAAGGGCTTGCCCATCAATTGGGGAAAGGCTGAACAGGTTGTGGTATACAAACATGATAGAATACTATTATGCTGTGAGAAATACAGAAAGAGGGGCAACAAGTGAGAGGGAGGGAATGCAGACTTGAAAATAAAATAGAATTTTAAAACCCTTATCACCAAAAAAAAAAAAGAGGGAGAAAAGCATAAAAAGACAGGATAGGGGAATGTACACAAATAACAACTTTAATCATGAACATGAATGAAATGAATTCATCTATTAAACAGGAGAGGATAGCAGAACGGATTAGAAAGCACAATCCAATTTTTTGTCTACTAGAAACTGCTTGAAACAGAGATTCACAAAGTTAAAATAAGGGGCTTGAGCAAAATACATTATGCTTTGCTAGTAAGTGTCTGAGGCTAGATTTGAACTCATTGAGATCTATCTTCCTCATGCCAAGCCCAGTGCTCTATCCACTGTGCCACCTAGCTTCCCCCAAACAGAACTTTAGAAAAGTTAAATATGATAGATTTCTGGTGATTATTGAATGGAAAGATCTAGGCTTTCAAATAAGAAGAATTTAGAACTAGAACAACAGATTTTAGCTTGGTGGCTGAACAACAGAGGAAAAAATATCAGGAGGCTATAGATCAACTCTTTCAGAGTGATAATGAATACTGCTATAGGGCAGAAATTGATGACAAAATTTCTACTAGGATCACAAACTGAGAGGTGGAAAGGCTTCTCTTTCTCAATTTACAAATGAGGAAACTGAGGCCAAGATAGGGAAAGTACCCTACTGAATGCTTATTGATTGATCAAGGCAGTAAGTAACAAAACCAGGATTTAAACCCAGATTCTTAGGCTCCAAATCCTGCAGGGTTTTCTACTGCTTCATAATGCTTCATGCTCATTTCCTTCCTGGCTTCCTCAAGTATAGGGATAATATCATATGCAGCACCACCATATTATGGGAACAGCCAACAATTTAACTCTGTACTACTAACCCTGGAAAAAAAACAACACATGAATAAACATGGTATAGTATAGGCTGCTATAGATATATTCTCTATGTCCCAAAGTTGGGCTAAAGTCAATCGATTAAATCAATCAACATAGTCTTGTACACAGTAGTCATATAATGCTTGTTCATTGGTAAAACATGTGTCTGGCTCTATTCGGGGGCTTTGGGGCCGCAAGACAAAAACAGTGCCTGCCCTAAAGGAGTTTGTTACACTGGAGGGAAAAAATCAAATACACACATATGTAGGAACCAAATATATAAAAAAAGCAAATAGCAGGCTACTTTTTGTGGGGAGACTCTACCAGCTGGGCATTACCATTTTCATCATGACCACTAGCTTCGGGGGTGCCTCGCCTCGGGTCTTCCTCGGGTGCTTCAGGATAGATAACAGCTGTAGCTTCTTGTTGCAGGAATTCTTCCACATTAGGATCATGGTTTTGTTCATTTTCTGCATCTGAGTCACATTCATCCTCTTTTACTAAAAGAAATACAGGTTTTATAAAAGAGCAAGCTCACCACCATAACCTAAAAAGAATTTCATATATAAGAAGAAAATTTTAATGTGTTTTTCACAAGCAAGGGGGTGTAGTGGAAAAAAGCCTTGGATTTGAAATTAGAAGAGCCCTGGGTTTGTTTTATATTTTATTATTTTTATCCTGAGCTTAAGCACTTAAAAAAAGAGTATTTCCACATATACAGAATCATAAATGAAATTGTGAATTTCCAGTTCATACTGCTTCCTTCAAAAAGCATATCATAATTCTAAAAGTTGCTCTTAAAGCTCTCTGGCTCATCTGTGATCCCTTCTAAAATTTCCTTTGTTCCCTTTGATGTATTAAAAAAATTTCAGTGGTCTTTTTTATCAACAATGTCACTATGGCTCACCTCTTCTTTCATCATCCTCCCCCCTGCCCCCACAAAAAAAAGAGAAAAAAAGAAGATGTAACAAACAGGTATAGTGAAGCGAAGCCAAAAAGAATTCACACAGGGGCTATTAAAAAAACCCCAACAACATACTTCTTATTTTGTGCCCTGAGTTTATCCTTTCTGTTAGGAGGAGGATGACATGCTTCATCATCAGTCCTCTGGGACATGTTTGGTCACTGAATTGATCAGCATTCTCTCTACCATGTCGTTGTCTTTGTATCAATTACTCTCCTGGTTCTGCTTGCTTCACTTTGCATCAGTTCAGGATTCTCTGATCCCTTTCATCCCTTCTCAGAAAGCAATATCATTCCATTACATTTACACACCAGTTTGTTCAGTCAATCCTCAGTTGAGGTAGACTCTCTTAGATTCTAGTTCATTGCTTTTATTTTGTTCCCCTTTAATTCCTGTTTCAGGATGAAGAAGTTTGTTATGACTGAATCCAAGCAGAGCCCTGGGTTTGAATCCTGCCTCTAATACTTATAGGCTCTGAGACAGTGGGCAGATAGATCACCCAGCCTCTCCAAATGTCACTATCTTCATCTACAAATGGGGATAACTAGAACTTCAGTGATGACACAATGAGTGTACTATCAATGTCAGCTAGTATTATCTTATGCCCTTAGCCTCTCGATTTCTGGAAGAGATGTTACTGTCATTACATGGGCAGTGGTTGGTGACCTGGGCCTTGAGGGAAACTTGGGGAATCCAACAGGCTCAGGTGAGGAAAGATTCTGTTGCCAGATTAGAACAAAGGTACACAAGTAGCAGACAGACTGACAAGTTTAAGGAAAAATCAACAGCATGGTTTGTCTGGAGTGTCAAAGGAAATAATGCAAATACATCTGGAAAGCTAGTAAGGACCCAGATTACTGAGAGCCTTAAGTACCAGGTTGAAGAGTTTGAATTTTATTCTAGAAGCATGGGGAGTCATCAAAGATTTCTGAGAAGAAAGTAACATAAACCAGTCATTCAATTGGCAGGCCTTTACTGAGTGCCTACTATGTGCCCGGAACTATGCGAGGTAACAGAGTATATATACCCTTCAGAGTGAGCTGATGTGAGGGCATGCATAGAGTCTGAGAAAGGGATGTCAACATTCTCTCCTTTGCATTTCTCTCCTCTTTAATTATGTTTCAGTCCATAGTTACTGAGCCTGATTTCAAAGTGAGATCAGCGATATGGCATAGCTCATGGGTTCCAAAACCAAACAAATTAAACGTTGACAAACTAAACTCATTTGAAAAATTAAAATTTAACAAAAAATAAAATTCAATTTTGTGCAGCATACAATGTTTAAAAATTCTATGGAAAAAGCAAAATTTTCAGTTCATAAGGCAGATGAAAACTTAAATATTCAAATAAAGACATGCCAAAACTCTGACCTGTCAACATTATATCCTGTTACAATGATTGTGGTGGTGACACATTAGAAAGGATAGTCAGAAAATAGAAAAGAATTCACTTAGTGATTACAATGTATTTATTTTTTACCATCTACATTCTCTTTCCTATCACTCCAAATGAAAAGTCTGAACTTCCTGCTTTTCTTATTCACAAATTTTGAAGCTTTGAGATAATTATTAACTGTATATATAACAAAGAAAGAGATGTCCTGAAGAAAAAATAATAATCCTTGAGAAGCTTTTTTCCCTTACAGAGTAGTCAGTCAGTGCTAACGTTCTCTTAGCTACTCTAAGAATTGAAAAGAGAAATCAGTTACAAGGACGAATTGACTCAAAATTCAAAACTAATGACAGTAACTGTCTCTGTACAATTTTTATTTTTTTTCTGTCAGTATGTAATTCCCTTAAAGTATAAGATAAGACTGAAACAAAATGAATACTTTTAAAATGAACTGCTGAAGACGTCTGCATTTCTAATCTTTCTTCTTTACTTTAAACATACATATGGCTGATTACCATGAGAACTACTCCTATTCTTGAGCCTGTTTGGAAGGATCATGTGATAGTCAAAATGGCAATTTCAGTAGATCTGATGGCCTATGCGAGATGCTTTCCATGTGGGATTCTTAGAGGGATGTGTATGCGTATTGTTTGTCTTGCTTAGTGGATAAAGCTTGGAGGCTGGAAAATCTGGGTTCAAACTCCATCAAGGACATTATTCAAGTTACTCTAGGCAAATATTTAATCCCTAACCATCTAAGTGGTTAGAACTGAGTAAGGAAGATCTTAGTTCAAATCCTACTACAGACACTAGGTATCTGGGTGACCTTGGGCAAGTCATTTAACATTTTTGGCCCAGATTTCTTTTCCTCTGTAAAATGAAGGGGTTTGAATAGATGGCTTCTGAGGTCCAGCCTCCCAGCTCTAGGTTTAAGAGCTTGTAATTTTATAATCAACGTCACAGAGGGCTTGGGAGCTGTTCTGCTTAAGAGGAGAGTTTCCAACACTGTCACTTCTTCACACTGCTAAAATCACAGACCCTAACAATAATTTGCCTAATTTATGCTGTCTTTAGAACTGGAAGCAAAGAGGGCAAATTCATTCTTGGAAGGAAGGATAGGATGACATACAATAAGCTTCAAAACTCTGAATGTCTTGCTCAGTAGCTTTTGCCTGATGCAATTCTGGTTATTGTGTTTTGGGTATCAGAAAGGAACTTCCTTAGGAAAAACGGTAATAAAAACCATTCATTTGACCTTCATTAAAACTAGTGTTTGATTAATAACAAATACCCCATTTAAATATTTTATATAAGCTGTAGCATGATAAATATTTGCTAGCAACTATTTGCCTGAATATATTATTTATGCAGGTTACACATAACGCAGCTAAATATACTGTATCAAAGCTTCTGCTGTAGGCATAGTAAATTACCATCCTACAGTCCATCTTCACTTATTAATTTGGAGCTTATCTTTAATAAGACAGCAAAGCTTTATCATTAGTTTCACAGTGTGAAATTACAAGTATGAGACTACCAGTATTATTAGAAGTGAAAATCTATTTATGACAATTATCACATAAGACTATCTTCACTTTGCGTAACATGAAAAAATTTATAAGGGTCCTTGGTTTATTGCTAAATATTAATCTCAAAAAAAAGAAATCTGTGAATGTTAAACTACAGAAGAATGGAAGAAAAAAACCCCACAATTAAAACATTACGATGAAATAGGTCCTCTATTTCTGATGACTGAATGCAAACATCTATGGCACTGTGGTGCAATATAAAAAGGATAGATTTGGAGCCAGAGAATCTGCTTGAATCCTGTTGCTGCCACTCAGGTCCCTACTTTGCTGGTGGGCACAGCTCCCAGCAAAACCATATTCCACCTGCGTCCCAGACTTCATCCCCTCCCCCACCATCTTTTTAAGACAAACTGCTGCCTAACCATGCCACTCCCTTCCTATAGTTACAAAGCTGATTTATTAAAAACCCAAGTATAAACATCTACATTTATCCCCAGTGAAATGCAGCTTATTAATAAATTCAGTCCAATATTCTAGTCTGTCAAGATTGTTTCTGGATCCTGTCAACTTGTGTGGTAGCCATCCTTCTCAGCTTTGCATTATCTGCAAAACTGATAAAAATGTTGAACAGCACATGGCCAAGCAGAGCTGTTGGAGGGATCCACTGAAAAGCTCCCACCATTGAACCATTAATGACTGATTACTCTTCAACACCAACCATTTCAATAGTTCTGAATTAATTAAACTGCACTGTCACCTATTGCACAGGCTTCCATCCTTTCCATATGAATACCAGGAGACACTCTATCAAAAATACCTTGCGAAAATATAGGTAAACCATGTATCTATAGGAATCTCCTGATTTACTGGTTAGTAACTTTCTCTGGGGGAAAAAGAAGAGAATCAAAGAAGAGACAGGACTGCGTCAGTGTTGTTCAAACCCTGGTTTGCTGGTTTCCTCTCCTGAGGAGAAGGACCTTAGAACTGGCTAAGAGTGAGACTGGAAAAGAGCCCCTTGCTGCCCTTGATGAACTTGAGTCACTTGGCCTAGGTGAACTACATCCTCAGGTTCTGGAGAATGGGAGAGGAACTGCAGAGCTGGATAGAGGTGACTACAGTCCCAGTTTTCAAAGTGGAGCCTGCCACCAAGTTTATTCAGTTTGGGAGGAATTCTGAAAAAAAGGTTCTTTGAAGAAATAGTAAGAAATTTTTGTATTGTCTACAAGCCTTTGGCCTTTCCAATTCCTTCATCCTAAATCATGTTTTACAACCTATTATATGCTTTTCTTCTTTATGCCCATCTTTGCACTGAAGTCACTGAGTGTGTCAAAGTATACGCTGATTTAATCTGGACAGTATTTCTGAGTTCTTCACGCACTCTTTCAGCAACTGATGTTGACAGCAACATCATCAATGTTATTAAAACTGCAACAAAAGATGACCAAGTGTCCCGTGAAATGGGTTCTTGTTGACTTTGGATTGTGCTTCTTCAAAGAGAATCTCTGAACCATCCCTCTAGTTAGCTGCAATCTACTTTTGTCTTCTTTTTCAGTTTATGGTGAGATTGTAAAAATTGAAATAATTCAGTTCCTCTAGTATTTGTTGGTTACTGGACAAGGACCTCACTTTCAAAGTATTAATAGTTACTACATATAGACCATCTTAATACTGTGTGATTGTTACCATCCTCTGCTCCCCTTTTCCAGCACTCTCCTTCTGTCACTGTAGAAGCAGAAAAGGGCCTCACACCACCGAGGATCACTGTGTACTTTTCTTTGTTTCATGTGTTACCACGGCCAAAGAATTCATCTCCAAGTGGCCAGCCTACTGGTAATGCTACATCCTTCTGTACTTGGAGGGCAGTCTCTGGAAATCACCCTGCTGCCCTACTTGGAAGCCTTCCAGCATGGAAGGACATGGAAGAACATGCCATAGCCTGCCTTCCTCTGGCACAGCCTTTGAGAGCTTAGGGTCACCTCGATGCCACCCTAAAATTACTTCATGCTACCATTATATTAAATAAGAGAATGTATGTAAAAACCTTTGTAAGTTATATAAACGTGAGCCATTATTATTCTTACTGGCATGCAGAAAAGGCTGAACAAATGTTTGTGGATTGATTCCCGTTACTTATTTCTAAATTTGATTTTTTTCCTCTTTTGTTCCTTGGGCCAATATTACCTGAGCTCACTGTAAAGGAGCAGACTAAATATTCAAAAAGAATGCTTTTGGTTCTTAAAAACAAGTTTCCTTGTTTAGTCCAATTAGATCATATAAGCCCTCTTCAGTTAAAGAATGAAAATAAAAGCTCTGTGATATGTTTTTTTCTTGGTTTGTTTTAGGTGTGGTATCCAGGGATTATTTCCAAGTTTCTTCCAGCTTTCAGAATCTCTGTCCTATTGGCTTATCCTCCCTTCTGCTACCTGTTTGTGGAGTTAGTACACTACTTCTCAGCACTTAAACCAAAGGGTAACTTAACTAAGGATGAAACTCAAAATAATCTTTTTTTTTAAAAGAAATAATGGTAAAGTATTTGGAAGAGGAAGGTGAAACAAGTTAATAACTCTATTTCTGAATTATCTGTGAATTTCAGCTGTTCAGCATTTCATATTAAAAAAAATGGACTGTGCCTTTATAGAATTCAAAGTGCTAAAGAGATAATGGCTGCAACTTTGGAGGATACTCAATATACCAACGGCTTAATTTTGTGGAGTAGTTACTGTTTATAAAGTACTTTCCTCACAACAACTGTGTGAAGTTCTTGGGAAAGGGCCAGTATTATTTGCCAATGAGGAAATTGAGGCTCATGGATATTAAATGACTTGTTTAAACCAAGTATATAAGTCAGGACTTGAACCTAGGCCTTCTGACTCCTGGTCTGGTATTCTTTTCACTATGCCATCCTGAATATCTGGGGACTAAAAGAGACAAACACTTGTGACACAAAAGACCCTAAACTTCCAGCACAGATCTAGGGAAAGAAAATGGCGCACAAGGCAATCAGATAAGTACCTGCACATCCAGCTTCATCTGCCTGAGCTTCAGGCCCCAGGATTTCTTTTCCTTCCTTTCCTGTTAAAAAACATATTCCAAAGAACAAAGAATTAAAATAGAACCACACAGTCTTGTTTATGCAGTCAGTCAACAAACATGAGGTGATGAGAGCTTCTGCCAGGCCAGCTGGTGGCACTGTTAGAGAGGCAGGTCAGTGAGGAAATGCTTGGGTATCAAGCGGTTGGAAGGTATCCAAATGCCCAACATAGGCTTGTCTAGTATTTTATTGATGTCTGACTGAGTGATTTAAACCTAAACATTAATGAAATCACAAAGCTCCTAGATTTCATGTGTGCAATTTGATTTTGATAGGGTTGTTGGTGGCACTTTCCTAGCAAAGATGGTTAAGATATTTAAGATGAGGAAGGTAAGAAAAACTGAAGAGTAACTGGCATTGGCTAAGCTGTGAGGAGTTAAAAGCTCTCAGTCAATAAATATTGATTAGGCACCTATTATATGCCAGGCATTGTCCGAAGGGCTGGGAATACAAAGAAAGGCAAAAGACTACGTAGTCCCCGCCTCTGAGGAGCTCATAGCCCACCCGGGGGTCAACATACAAACAACTGTGAACAAACGAGATACAGACAGGACAAAGTAGAGAGCAAGAGGAGGGCACTGCTGCGTGCTGACGTCAAGTCTAGTGTGTCATAGCAGAGCCACTCTGACCCCTCTTACACTGTTTTTCTTATGTTGTTAACTTTCACAGCAAAATGAACAAGAAGAAAAAAATTAAAATCAATCAACTGAGTACCTGTTGTTAAGGTAGCTTATGAGGAATGTACAGAAGGATAAACCACAAGTACTTTCAAAGAGTTCATAATCCAGATGGAAAGATAAAAGTTAAACTAAAGAAACATTATGTACTAAATGTGGGAAACTGACTAGAAGTAAATTAGCCTTCTTGAAGCCATTAGGAAGAATTGTACCTTCTAGAAGGATACTGAGAAGTCAGTTTTCAAGAAAAAATACCTCATTTAAATTAGATTATTGAAAATAATTCTGTTGAAATTAATTCAACAAAGCATTATTAGGTAAGAGGTATGAAACATTTTAAAAAGTAGAGTGAGCTTTAAATTATATTGTAAAACATGACCTGTACTTATCTATGCAAATTAGACTTCAAACTTTTCTCTTTTCCCAATGTAAAAAAGTATGTTCAACTGTACATTATATATCAGATCACTTTCCTTTCATTTCTACTCATTTTAACTGAAATTCTGAGAGACCTATACAACAGGTGTCTCAAAAGTAAGGTATATGTATTTCAAGAGGTTTAACTGACATAAGCCTGAGAGTTTCTGGCTGAACCACATGAATCCCTTATGGCAGTGTTCCAATACTAGTACGTCTATAAAAATATATTTTCTTTCTTAAAAATGATATAAAAACCTGTTTTATCACATGAAATATAAGTTTACTCTATAAAGTACATATATATCACATAATGCATATAATGTACAAAGCATAAATAGTTCTACTTTTATGAGATCCCTACTGCAAGAATGGCACAAAATCACAAATATTAGCGCTGGAAGGGACCTTAGAGTTCATCTCATCTGACCCTGTCATTACAGAGATAGGGAAACTGAGGTGCAATTCAATGAAAATTTGACTTTGTTTCAACATTTCACTTAAAGGCCAGAATTGCTTTATAAAATTTGATTACATGTTTTAATATTTCAATAGCACATAATAGTTTCAGTTTTATTTAGGGTCTATTCAATATTAAAAGTCTATGAAGGTGAAGTCTTGCTAGCCTAAAGCAGAGTTGAATGATACCAGTTTTCCTAATGATGATTTTGCTTCTTCTGTCTGGGTCTTTAGAAAACTGATCAGCAGAGGTAATACAGCTCCATTAAGTTCAGCAATGCAAAGTCCCATTGCTTTATGAGTCAATGGTTCATCTAAGTAGTTAGAGGTCAAGCATCTACACAGCCAAGAGTTGTTGTTCACTGGCCAGGTGGTCTATTAAGCAAACCTTGGGAGAGGGGGAATGGGGGAAGGGAGAAGGAAAGAGGAAGAGAAGGAGAGAAAGAAGAGGGAGAGGAAACAAAGTGCTAATCTCTTTTCACTTTCTCTATTCTCAGGTGCTAGAAGTTATACCAGTAAAGAGATCAAGACATTTTCTACTGTTGTTTCAAAACTCTCAAAGAAGAAATGTGTTCTCATTTAACTTATTTTTGCTACCTTAGGCTGTCTTATCCCTGGGCTCTAAGGATTATTGGCATTCATGGATGTGGAGGCATTTTCCATTTGTGGAACAGTGGATTGAACACAATTGGGCTTTGAGTTCAGAAGACCTGAGTTCAAGTCCTCCATGAGACACTTCTCAGCTGTGTGACCCTGGACAAGCCATTTAAGTTCTATGGACTCAGTTTCCTCATCTGTAAAATGGGGCTAAAAAAAGCACTTACTTCATAGTGTTGTGGGGATCAAATGAGATAATGTATGCATGTAAAGCTCTCTGCAAACCTTAAAGAATTGTAGGCATGTTAGATATTCTCATTAGTTAAGAAAAAGATTTCCAGAGGTAAAAACCTTGCCTTTTCTTTTCACTATAAACTAATTCACTGTTTTCCTTTAATAGTTTGATGAGGAGGAAAAGAGTCCCTTTCTGTAAAGATCTCGTTTCCTTTCCCTATGAAGTTCAAAATGGTGGCAGTATCACAAGCTACTGGCCATCCCATTTAATACTTAGTCTTTTTTTTCACACAGGTCCTACTTCAATACTTCAGTGTGTAGTGCAAGTGACCCTAGGTTTATGAAGGCTGTGCCAGCTGGGTGAAATGGTGGCAGGTTCTCCTAAATCAGAAGGGCCTCGAGTATATTCCTAGTGATATAACGCCTACTCTCTAAGGACCTGCCTAACAAAGTTTGGAAAGATTTATCACCACTGACCACTAGATGAATTCCTTGGCCGTGGTAACCCATGAAAAAAGGAAAAATGCAAACTGGTCCATTAGTCCTGTATAGCCCCTACTCTGTTTTTGCTTCTATGGGGACATTGGCAAAGTGGGAAAAGATCAGGAGGCACTAAGAATCACAGAATTTTAGGCTCTCTATATGCATTTACTCATGGTATTGTCTATGTGAGATTTCTGAGCAGCAACCAACAAGTTGATGTGGTGCTTATGGAAGAACTGAACCAAATCAATTTTGACATTCTTGCTATAAATGAGGACAGAAGACATAAACACAAGTTATGATCTAAATGGAAGGAGAACATATAAGTGTTCTTTGGAAAGGTAAATAAAAGAGTTGGTTTCATTATGTGCCCAAAGACAATAAGAAACATAATTTTATGGGTCATTTGTTCATCTCATATTGAAGTGCTCATTAGCAGTACTCATTATGATTACGACCTCAAAGACTGAAGATAACTACAGCTTATATGTCATCCACTGCAGAGGATAGAGATGCGAGAAAAATTCTTTGAAGAACTGGATAAGATATTCTACTCCAACCTAGGAAATCCACTGCTCCTGGATTACACTAACGGAGAGGTAGTGAGGCACACACAAAGAAGAATCATAAAAAACCAAGGATGCACAGATATCGAAGCTTGTGGAGGCTGAGCTAATTCAACACCATTCAATTTTTATATGGGAATGAAGTCCTTCCAACTGAGATTCTGGGATATTCAAAAGCCTCATACTTGTTTATCATGAATATTTTCTATAATAAAGTTAGAAAGCATTAGATATGGTAAGCAACAATCATCGTACCAAGCAATGAAATTTAGTCTATATTAGACAGAAAATATTACGTGTGGATGTGGGAAACTTTCTGAATGAGTTGTCATTTACTTACACCACTGACTAATTAGAACAAAAATAAAAATTAAAACAAGGAAAGTTAAATGTAAGAAGAAGCTGTATACATTTATCATATCAATAATCAGACATATTCAAACATGCTACTGAAACTGAAATATAGGAAATGACATTAACACAGACTCTCATGATTTCCCATGGAAGACGAATAGACATAAATTTATCACTGCAATAAAGAACCCAGAAAGCCCAGAAACATTTCAGTCAGCAAACACTCTTCTTGCCTTGTGGAGAGAAATGGTACTTGGCTAAGGACACCACAAACTGACTATAACTTTATTTGCAAAATATTATGGAGAATATAATGAAATCTTAATGTGTCCTAAGAAATGACTATGAGAAATTCAGATAAACATGGAAGGATTTATATGAACTGATGCAAGTGAAGTAAACAGAACCAGGAAAACAAGATGTTTTCCACATAATGATGACAGTAATGTAAATCTAAACAAACAAATGAGTGAATAGGTAAAGAAATAATACTAACAAAACTGAATGCATTGTAATTATAAGGATCAAACTTCATAGAGAAAACACCTTATTTTTTGTTAGAGGCAGGAGACAACAGGTGTGGAATGCTTCAAACACTGTCACACAGAGTTAAAGTATATTGCTGGTTCTGTTCAACTGTTTTAAAAAATTATCATATCAGAAAGCTCAATGAATACTGAGTGAGAAAGGATATATTTAGAAATAAATGTAATGAAAAAAATAAGAGATCGATACAACTTTTAAAATATTAGGAAGATGGTAACATTATAAACAGTATTGTTTCAAAAAGAAGAGTGGTAGAGCAGAAATCTAGTCTGCAAACCCAGAGTATGAGATCCAGCTAAGCCAGATCATCTCAAGTGTCGTTACAAACGAAAAGGGAAGGATAATAGAACCAAAATGGAGCATTTGTGTCAGCATTTACGTAACAGGTCATTCTTATCATTGGACTCTTAATACTTCAGTGTACAATGAAGAAGTAGAAATGGCATTAAAGACAACAAAAACCACTCAAGTACACAAAGAAAGCAATGCTACAAGTGACATCTGAAAAGCTCTAGGAGAATGACTTTTAAAATCTTTATTAAAGATTGGGGGAAAAAAAAAACTTTGCACAGTACCATTACCAAAAAAAGGAAACTGAAGAGACGTCAATTAATAACTACTACACATCTAATTCTCATCTCCTTAAAATCTGTAAGAGAAACATCTATCCACATAGAAATATGAAAGGGGAACAGGTAGGCTTTCACAAAGGATTCTCATAAGCAGACCACACCTTTACAATCACAAAAGTGACTAAAAGTTGCTGTCATCTGCTGTGTTCACTGCCCAATGATATTTTAAAAAGCACTTGACTCAGCAGAGTACAATGTATCTTTAAAAACTCTTCAACTAGTTGTCTCCTATACAAATATTTAGATCATCCAAGATTCCCTGATGCCTAAACTGAAGTAGCCGTGTTCAACAGTCCTGTCATCATTATGAAAAGAAAGACAAGCCAGGGAGGCAGAAGTGTTAACCATTCTCACAGCGAATATTCTGTGCCAAGTACAACCAAAGTAAAGATTCATGATAGGTGAAGAGGTCTTTCAAATGCTCCTGATTACAGAGGACTTTAGGCTTGAATTAAATCAAGCCCCAGAATGCAGGCTTCCTACACAAATCCCACCACTGCTTAGAGAAGACATGCCTAACAATCCACATAGGAGAAAAACTAAATGTATGAAGAATTTCTTAACTTTTTTGAGTTATGAAGTCATTTGGCAGCCTATGAACCCTGCTCAGAATGTTTTTAAATGCATAAAACACATAAGATTACCAAGGAAAGCAATTATGTTGAAATGAAGATTTTTTTTTCCTACCCAATTTTACAGACCCCTTGAAATCTACCCCTGTGGGTCCATGGTATCCACATTAAAAACTCCACTTTAGACAATGACATGTAGTTACACGGGTAGCTAACTGAGTCTGTTAGTAATACAATCTTGGAAAGGAACAGCAGATGGATAATGATATGGGCCCAGAACTGACTAGGAGGATTAGAGCAGGCTGTAATGTACTGGGGAATCTGTAAGGTACTTTCAAAAGTCCTAAATGGCTTTCTGGCACAAAAATCCATTTTTAACAACAATATTCTTGTGGTAATGCTAAATGTTTATAAATCATGTAACACTATAATCTTTAAGGATTTGAAATTTGCAGATCACCAAAAGGACAATAGGGATATTAATGATAGATTAAGTAGGCTTGTATATTACTAATAGTTACTCATATGCAAGAATTGACATAAAATATATTATCCAGAAAAACATATGATTTGAAAAAGTGATAGGCTGGTCATACAGTGGGAACAAAAAGATAACAGATGAACAGCCTGAGTACTGCACTATGAAGGCAGTGAGGTGGCACACTGGATGGCATGCTGGGCTTGGAATCAGGAAGACCCAAGTTCAAATTCTACTTCAGACACGTATTAGCTGTGTGACCTTGGCCAAGTCACTTAAACTCTGTTTGCCTATTTCTTCAACTATAAAATGGGGATAATACTAGCCCCTAAATCCCAGCACTGTTGTGAGGATCAAATGAGATATTTATAAAGTGCCTAGCACATAGTAGGCACTTAATAAATGCTTATTCCTTCCCTCCCTCCCTTCCCTGCACTGGTACCTATGGAATTGTTTTAAAAAATCTTTAAGGAAGGCCTTCAAATACGTTGTATCATGTGAGGATATGGACAAGACTCACACAGGATGAGTGAATAGGTGGCAATCTATGCTGCAGGAGATAGTGTAAGTGTCAATGAGATGACAAATCCATTGAAATAAAGTGCCCCACACAGAGGAGATGCTCATGGCGGTAATTCCAAGTTTCAGGAGAAGACAGTTTGAGTGGTCTTGTACTCTACCCTCTTTAGGCCTCAAACTCTGGAGGCCTGACTTAATTCAGAGCTTTTCTATATTTTCTTATTCCCAGAATCTCTGGCACTAAGCCAGGCAGAAGAAAGACCTGTAGGACTGTAAGAGATACTCCCTCCATTCTGAAGCCATAGGAATTCTCAGGAGTCTCCTTAGACACAGAACTGTGGCCCTGAGGATACCCCATGTGGACCTTTGGTTGAACCACGGACTATTTTCCTAAACTTTTAATTATATGTGCCTGGATGCTGAGTTGTCCCTTAGAAAGTACCCAGTTATTACCCATTCTCAATTTTTTTGTACCTATCAAATAGGAACAAAAATATAAAATCCAAAGAACAGAATCCCTTGAACAGGGATTGTTCCAGTCTTTACCTGAACCTCTGGTACCCAAGCACAGTGCCTGGTAAATAGTGGGTACTTAATGAATGCTCAGTAATTCTGTTAATACAGTTTTTCTATTAAATATACAATCTCTAGCCATGACATTCATAACTTAGAATTTTTTCAAGATGTTCTCAACAGTCACTTTTATTTGTCTTTTTAAGAAACAGGAAACCAGGGGCAGCTAGGTGGCACGATGGATAGATCACCGGCCCTGGAGTCAGGAGGACCTGAGTTCAAATCCGGCCTCAGACACGTAACACTCACTAGCTGTATAACTCTGGGCAAGTTACCTCATATTAAAAAAAAGAAAAGAAAAGAAACAGAAAACCGCCTGAATGAAAGGCCTATAGTTTTAATTTTTTTCATTGACCAACTGTGGCTCTGAAAGGATTTGCTTTTGATTCCCCAGTGCTAACCCATACGCAGGGACGTTTCTGGCAAAAAGCATATCTGGCTCCTCTGGCCCGGAAGGCTCAATAAGAGGAGCAGTTCTACCGCTGGGGAGCTGTTACTTGGATGGCCTCTGATGTACCATCCTTCAAACCATCAGGCCTGAGCCCTGGCCTCCTTTGCTCTCTAGTCTCCTACTCTCGGCCGACCTCCTCCATTTCAGCTTTTATTTGCTCCTGGTGACTGATGGTCTTCTTCTAATTCCCTCTATTAATTGATAAAGGTGGATGATCAGAATATTATGACTCAATAGGAGCATATAAGCAAAGACTGGTCTGAGAGCCAAACTAAGCCCCAGTCCATGACTAGGTCCTGCTTCCCCCCAGTATTGTACCCCTCATAGACACAGAAAGACCAGAAGTGTAACTTAAGAATTCCTTATGGACCCTGGCCAGGTCAGGCAAAGGCATACTTATCATTTTAGCTCTCACTGCTCCTATTCTGGAAGAAATCCCTCTGCATGCTGAGATGATGGTGATAGGTCCTACCACATACTATAACCATCCAGGCTCCCTTGCTAAGTCTTATAGGAGATGTTGGTTTTAGTTGTTATCAAGACATGCTGAAAAATGTACCCTCCCTAAGAACTCAGCTATCAAAACAGTCATTAACTCAGTTGATTCAGCACCATGGCCAGCACCCTGTCAACTGACCTGATCGCCTACTTCTTTATTGACCCTCCCAGGACTTGACTAGCAGACCATTCGATTTATGATACATGCCTACCTATCTCTTTCCTGGCCAAATTCCAGATCCTGATTTTTCTTCAACCTGTTGCTGTTCAAATCCTGGCACAAAAGGCTACCTCATTTACTTCCATTAATGACAAAGAGTGGCATTACGGAATTTTAGAACTGAATTAAGTTTTGGAGATCATTTAGGTCAAGTCTCTCAATTCTACTTAAAAGGAAATTGAGTCCCACAGAAGTTAAAACAATTTCCCCAAAGTTATATAGTCATTTTTTGGCAAAGCAGGTACTAAAACCCAGATCTTTTAATTCCTAGTGCGTTTTCTATTATGCCACAAGTGTGTGATATTTCATTTAAATTTTAAAGTGCATGAAAATGCAAAAAAAAAACCCATTTAAACATATGCAGGATTCTAAAGACAAGTGCACCTCATGGTATATGTAACAGATTTGTTCACAAAAAACTATGTAAAAAGTTTTAGAAATAGAATTTCATTTTAAGTGTACTAGGATAGTTTAATATCTAAAAGAATACCAAGATGAATTCTCTTGCAAAGAGAAATTTTCATAATGAAAATAATATCTCCTGGGATGGTCAATTTCTACATGTTAGATTTTGGTATAATGGATGGTTTGACGCATTGGGAAATGTGATTATTATAAGCTGGGTACACTTTATAGTTATTTTGTATAGTGTCTTGTGTAAAATGAGACTTAGGACTAAATTTCAAAATAGCACCCTAGCTCACATGAAATGCTTTGAGATAAATATCAGTTTCCTAACAATTAAAGCTACTGAAAGTGGAATGAGCTACTTTAGGAAGGAGTAGATTTGTCTTCACTAGAGATCTTCAAATGAAAGCTGCGTGCCCATTATTAGAGACACCAAAGAAGTGATTCTTGGTCAAGAACGGAGCAGACTACATGGCCTCTTACGGCTCTTAACAATGTAAGCATCTGCGAGCTTGAATTCCTTAAGAGAAAAGAATTAACAATCAATACATTGTAATTACTATGATAAATGGCTGAGAGAATTCCATGACTCCAATTCTTATTCAGTTTTCAAAGAGTGAAGAGCATTTACTACTAACAATCTGAAGGTACCTTAGGATAATATGATAGGTAAGGTAATGATCTTTCTACTTATTAGTCGCCAAAAATTGTTTGCTGGTCATTTTAAAGTTTTCATTCATGCAGTTTCAATTAAAAATCAAGCATCAACATCAAATAAAACATACCATCATCTTCCCAGCAACTGCTGGCACTTCCTTCCTGTTCATGGCTTTCTGGTAACACTGTCTGGTCTGTTGGCAAATCATCTTCTGGCACACTAGCATCACAATCCCCTGCATCAGTAACACTTTCTTCTTCCACAATATGTAGTTTATCTTCATCATCTGAATCCGAATTTGTTTCTACCACATTATTATAATTTGTAACTGAAACAAAAGAATAAATAATAATCAAAATTTACTAGTAAAAATCACAATTTAAACACACAAGCAAATGGAAACCTTTAATAAAATACCTGAGGTTGAGTATCATAATACTTTTATTTTTACAATAGTTTGTTTTATATTATATTTAGATAATTGGTAAATATCTATTTGCACTACACTTGTTTAAAAGACTATTTTTAAAATTTATTTTTGGCCTCTATCTTTGATTGCACATGTAGAGGGAACTCACACATACAGGAAACCTCCCTCCACTGTTGCAGGCCTGCCGCAATGTGTCACTTACAGAGATGGGCCTCGAGCACTGAGAGGCAAAATGGCTTCCTATGTTCACACAGATCAGATATATCAGGAGTTGAGCTTGAACTCAGGTCTTTCTGACTACAAGACTAGTCTTCTATTCACTACACCAGACTGCCTCTTTTTCAAGTATAACTTAGTATGGTTTAGCAAAACTAAAAAAAGAAAACAGAAGTCAGATCCCTCAATAAGGAGCACAACTATGAAAATAACAAATTTATTACATCAAAAGTATTTAAGGATCATCCAATGGTTCACAGTTGATCTAACCAAAGTCTATTTTAGAAATGGACCAATCAACATTTAAAAATGAATTTTAAATAGTTAATTAAGCACCTAGTATGTGATGAGTGATAAAACATTTTGAGAAAAGAAGTCCCAGATCAGTAGTGTTTAGACAATTACTTACAACTGATGTCAGGGTTACAGAGTGCAAAGTGAAATACTTAAGTAAATTTCATGATTGCCTAATTTGTTCCACAATACCTATTTTAAATAGTTGACTAATTTGGTCAAATTTCACAAACAACTAAAATGCATTAAGGTATGTCTTAAGTTCAATTTATGGGTCAGTCTGCTATATTAAAATAAAAATGAAAGCCAATTAGAGTTTTCAAAAGGGCTTAACTCCTGGGATTTTAAATGTGATGAATTTTTATGTGGAGACTATGGATATAGGATTTCACTAAGTAAAGGCTCTGCTAAAGAAATCACTAGTAACAGTGAGGTACCAATCTGGTTACAATTAAATTTTTCACCTTAAATAACACACAATACACAACACAACACAGTACAGCGTTGTCCCAGCATCCCTATAGCATGCAAATTAAAAGAATAAATTGCTGAATATCGCTGTATTTGCTGTGAAGAGTGACATACCTCCCCGATTTTGGCAGAGCATTTATCACTTGCTAAGAACAAGGACGAGGGAGGAGGGGGGTGAAAGGAAAGAGAAATTTCAGCCTCCTTCTCCTCTGATCATTAGCAGGCAGCAGCAACTCCTTCCAGCTGCCCTCTACTATCGCCAAAAGTAGTTCAACTACACTCTTCAAACACCCACTAAAATACAACAAAATCAGCACTGTGCAAGAAAGGAAAAGGAAGGTGAAAACGTGTGCAAAAAGGCACAAGGAAATGGTTGCTTATGTCTTGTGATCTGACAAAGGCACATTTTAAAATAAGGTTGGCCCTGATGTTGGACTCATCACCTTACATGAACTAAACAACCTTTTTTTTTTTTTTCTGAGAGGGGAGGGTATTCTCTCACACTTTTCTTTCCTATGATCACTTTACCACTTTAGTAGGATGTATCAGAATAAGAACTCATACCCTTTCCATGCAAAATGGGAAGAGAAGCACCCATTCTTCTACATACAGAACACTGTTCTGTTTAAGTCTTTAGTGACACTGCTGAACAAATGTGTGAACAAACCAGTGACTAGTCAGTAAATTCAGATGACCCAATTAAATTGATAAAATTAAATTGACTTCTCATTTATGTCATTGCTGACTCATCAAAATATCCAAGTTAAAAACAATTTAGAAAACTGAATTCAGGAACATGCATTTTCAAGTATCTCATTTGATCCTCACAACAATCCTTCAAGGTAGGTACTGTTATTATGCCCGTTTTGCAGTTGAAGACATTAAAGTAAACAGGTATTTAGTAACTTGCCCAGATACATAGCTAGTAAGTGTTGGAGGTGGGATTTAGGGTCCAAGACCAGAAAAAGATGGATAACACCTTATACTGCAAAGACAAAAGAAACAACCAGACACTCCCAGAGGCAGGCACTGAAAGAGGAAGGGAAGAAAGGTAAAAGGAGAGAAACTGAAATATCAAAGGTGGAATGCACAGGAGTCGGAGAGTAGTTCTCTCTCTAGGTTCAAACGTCTGAGAACTTCTAGAAGAGGGGTGGGGAACCTGCGTCCTCGAGGCCACAGGTGGCCTTCCAGGTCCTTGGGTGCGGCCTTTTGACGGAGTCCAACTTTTACGGGACAAAACCTTTTATTAAGGGGATTTGTTCTGTGAAATTGGGATTCAGTCAAAGGGCTGCACATGTGGCCTTGAGGCCACAGGTCCCCACTCTTGCTCTAGAACCTATGCCAATAAGGATGAGAATCTGGTATACAATAAATTGCTGCATTTCAGTAACTTGTTGGATTTGTCTACCTGCTGACAGGGGACAACATTTAATCCTTGTTCCCAGACAATTGTCTGCATATATCAACTTAATAAGAATAACTAAAAAGTTTTATAATTTTTATTTTGCTCTAAGTTATAACATACTAGTCTGACATCAATCACATCAATCTTTTTATTGGCATATGCTTTAAAAATTAATGTTAAATGAGGAGCTTATTAATGTTCAATGGCTATACGCACAGGGCATATGTAGATTTAACTATTTATGCCTATCTGTGCCCACCCACACATATTATTTAAATATGGGCCTGTTTGGAAAGTATGGATTTTGTTCACCATGAATTTGCCTTTTTAGCTTTTAAAGAGCTAGCTGACAATCTGTAACTGATCTGTCCATAAGGTGTCACAGTGAAGCACTCATAATACTGTCCACTTGCAGATGCCAAAGAACAGAAATGTTAAATATTTTAATTTATGAACATTTGTAAAACATAAAGTGCTTTATAATTTTTATTACCTGCCCCTTACAACAACCTTGTTAGTAATGTTGACACCGACATCCATATTTTACAGATGGAAGATCTGAAAGGTTCTTTGGCTTTGGCAAGGTCACACAGATTTCAAGACAAACCCCAAACTGGAATTCTTTACTGAATTTCAAGTATTAATTAATTCACCCATTTAACGTTTTTCTTTTACAGATTTGCAAACAATAATATTGTTCTTTCTGTGAGATACAGTGAAAAAGAGTTTTCAGCATCAAAGAACAGAACTGGCGAATTTAGGGTCTGTCAGATACATTTTACAGACAGCCTCTAACCCACTCTAAGAAATTGCCTCCAGAAACGCACTCACTATCTAGCTTGGGGAGCTGTCTCCTTTCATAGCCCTCAAATACTGTATATAGGGACTGCTGAGGTGGGTAGTTTAATCTATCCATGTTAGGGAAAAGCAGGCTTTTGGCTTGAGTTACTTGGATCATTTTGTATAGACTTTAGATAACCATTCAGTCCAACGTATTTAACCTGCAGTTGTTTTTTTCCCTTTGTTTTCAAAGAGGACCAACAAAGTCACAGGGTGATGTCTTGACTTGCTAGGGAACTAGATTTAAATGAGACAGAGTTACTCAGAGTCCTCAGCCTCATTCCCTGTTCCAGTGTCACTGAAGTCCAGTGGCGAGACAAAAGTCAGGATGACTGGTGCTAGCTGGGGATGCAGTAGGTGACCTGGACGTCTTTCATGTCTGACTAAGCTCTAAGCACTCCACAGCACCTGCTTCAGCCGCCTTCACAGCTGGTGGAATAAATTCTTCTCATCTGCCCATTCCACTGGGGAAAGTCTTTACATGCTTGGGGAAGTCATTCCACTAACTCACCAGTAGCCTTGAGCTGGTTGGTTACTCTCAACCTGGTTGAGCCCATCCGTGGAGATGGTTTTACCGGGTGCGGTGGCTGCACATGCTATAGCTTCTTTGAGTCAAAGGGGAGAGTTGGGTGAATCAGGTGGACAGCAAAGGTGGATGAGCCATTGGTAGTGGTGTAATGGACAGGAAGCCAGCCTCGGAGGCAATAAATTCTGCCTCCTGGGGATCCCTGTTATGTGGTACTGAGGCAACGTCTTATCATCCCAGGCCGCACTCTAAGATGTGAAGTTGCAAAGCAATCACTGCTCTTTATTGGAGGAATCTCAGGAAGGGCTCCCTACACCAATAAAAGTCAGTTTAAAAATTTACTCCCACTGCAGCATAGCCTTGTTTGAGGAAATGGTGATACAGCTCAGGCATAGTCCCTGTGCTTTAGGAGGTCTGCAGTCTAAAGCACATAGCCTAAGTTTTAAGTAATAAATTAAGAAATAACACTAAAAATAAGCTATACAAGCTGTAAGTTGTAGATATTTGTAATAGTTCTATAAACACATCCCCTTTTTACAAAGCATAAAAGATTTTTTTACAAAAGAAATCTCACCATCTTAACATACAAAATGTCCGGTAAAAATTTTTATAAATTACAAGTTCATTTTTTGGAAATACTATTTAAAAAAATTAGTTACAGATATTCTTCCATTAACAGGCAATACATATCGTGGTACATAATTTTAATTAAAAAAAGCAATATGAGTGAACAGAATATTAAAATAAAGTTTCTGGACAACAGTAAAGTTAAGGCTAAATACAGTTAGTAAACAGAAAAAGAAGATGCCAAATTAAGTATAGGAATTTCCAAAAATTAAGTTAAACATAAACAAGAAAATAAAAAGATCAGTAAGGATGTATTTATTAAGGACTTACTATGTGCTACTATGAATGAAATAATGCCCACAAACTATGAAGTTATTATCTATGGATTTTCTTTTTCCATAGTGGCATAAAATTAATGATGGACATATTAACCAGATTTAAAATGGGCCCAAATCACTATCCTACTCTGTTCTTTAACTATTCTTAAATTCCTTATGTACAGGTTATACCATTTTAATTTGCAAAAATCTGTGTGTTGCTTTTAAAAGTTGAATTTGCCTGGTACTCAACTTTCAGTAC